AACCATCATGCACCTTACAACTTTACACCTGTGTCAGCTTCAAAGAACACAGTTCCACAAAACCAGCTATAGCAGACCAATCCGGAAAGCAAATGTGTTAAAGGATTCCCCAACATTTTGTGACCAGCTCTTGTCAGAAGTCAGAAAACTACTTCACAATCATACTCCAAAGAGCGATCTGTTGACCAGCAGCCTCAGCACACACTTGAGATCTTTTTAGGAATCCACAATCTCACCTGAGACCTACTTTTTGTGAATTTGCTATATTATTCAACAATATTAAATTCTGTTATATAGGTCAAGAAAACAAATGGGATGGATGACATTTATAAGTGATGGTCACTAATGGTAAGTAAGCTAATAATTTAAGGAGGTAAAGGCCACACTCAGAGGCTCAATTAGGTACAGATAATAAGAGCTTATAAGCTTCTAAAAATGAAGGCAAATTTTTTAAGATGTGTTAAAAATAGGTAATTTAGTAAGCTAAAAGACATTCCAAAATAGAAAATATGATGGAACAAACAAGAAGCTCACTTGCAGAAAGAAAAGGGATGGAAAGACCAAGTCATCCTCGTGCCATCTCTGGACTGCCAGATACGCCATCTCCATACCAGCCACCCACCGACGCCGCCCAGCCTGGTCTTATTTCAGACCCACAGGTGCTTGACCCAAGAAACACAAATAAAACCCAGGGAAACTGGCAAAGCTACAGCTGTCTGTAAGCGTACTTGTACCGTCTCTCTTCTATAGAGCAAATACCATGATATCATGAGCTGAGGGGATTATTAGTATGTGGAGCCCATACTCAAAAATCAACTCTGGTCCTCAGAACCACACCCTTAGTGGGAAGGGTGATGTGAAAGTGAGAGGGCTGGGCATATAAATACTGTGTACCAGGGCCTCAGGTTCTGTGGTTCTTCCAAACTTTGCTCCTTACCTGTGTAAACTTTCCCTATGGCTTTCCTCTTGCTTCCAGCTGTGTGTTTTAAACTGATTTGATAAATACTGTGATTCAGACATTTAATCTGGTTGCTGAGCCTGTCTATTGTATAGCCCGTGGGAAAGCTGGTGATGCGCTTGCAGGCTAATCTTTGCATCAAGGTGATTTCCTCCAAAATACCTGCTGAATTAGAAATCCGCACTTTAAAATATCCCCAGGGGTTTCATAAGCATATTAAAGTTTAAGAGCACTGATCAAGACTATCTGAAGAAACAGAATGACCGAAATCTGAATCTCAGAACTATACTCTGAACACCTCCCAAATAAAAGGTCTTGTATATGTCCTGTGTATCAACTCAGAGCCCCCCAAAAGAAAGAGAATGCTAAGGGACCCCCTTTCAACAAGTCTCATGTAAGATTTAGAGAAGCACTGCAGTCCCTGGTGATTCTCCTCTGAACCCCAGCTCTGCAAAGCTCCATATAGTTGGAGAGAACACTCAGAAAGGTAGAGCACAACATACCTTAACATTAACCCTGCAATCTCCTTCTTGCTAAGGGAATTAGGAAAATACCCTTTTTCATCGATGCTAAGTTTCAAGAACAACTATCCAAAGGACATAAGACTACCAGAAAGAGAGAAAGGGTTATGACTGCCTTAAAAGGGTTGCAATGACCTTAGAAAGAGCATCCAGGAACAGTTCAGGAGAATAGCCCGAGAACCATCCTTACGGGGCTATCCACTCCCCACCTCCTGGCATTTGCTGACCTGATCGGCTCCAGTCACTTTATGTATTTATTACATTTATTACATTTTATTGTATATTGCACTGTTACCCACACGTAGCAAGGTCTCAGTACATATTCCGAATTAACAGAAAACAATAATGAAAAATGTCACCACTTCTCTCCTGGGTTCATTTAAAGCAAAGCTAATTAATTCAATCTCTTGGTTTTGAGAAATTCCTGAGAATGAAGGTATAATTCCACAGCTCAAATTAGCATGGTTCATAACACTCTCTCACTCCATATTTCAAACTTGGATTTTATATTTTCCATTATTAATCAATCCCACTGTAATTTTCCACAACACTGTGAAACACATCAACCTATCCATTAAGAAACAATCCATTTCTAAATGTCACCGATTATGTATAAGTAATACGGTACACAGGAAAGATCAGCTATCATTTTGATGCTTTCCTAGATCCAGATTTAAGATGTCTCAGGAAAGTATCTATTTAAAAAAATCTATAGGAGAACTGAAATAAAAACTGATGAAATGATCACACACATAATGATCATACACAAGATGTAAAACAAAAGCCCAAAAGTGTTGAGAATATTTACTCTGGTGAAGAGTAAATGAGAATATCAGGAAAAGAATGTAAAAGTTCTAAAGATCATTTCTGTAAAGAGTATGTCACCTTTGGTTGCTGAAAGAGGCAGTATGTTTAAATTTCAAAAGAAAAGGTTTAAGTTGGAAATCATTATCTCCCATTCTGTAAGTGAAACTTTACAAAAGGAATAATGAAACATACATAGGGAATGGCTCAGTGTATTTCCTTCCAAATGGTTTATCAAATCCTGTTCAATCCATGCATTTAGCACAGCCAAGGACAGTTACAGTCCTCACAGGACATGAGACATTTCAGCACAGGTTTTCAGACTGTGTTATATGGGTTTTAAATACCAAGTATTGAAGAATTGATGCACCAGCTCACATAGGAAAGAGGCAACATTGTAGATTTGCGTGTCTTCTACTTCTAACAGCATGAGCACAGACACATGAAAAGCCTTCAATAAACACTTGTTGAACTTCATTGTTACCACGCTCTGAGGCAAAAATCTTAATTGTAGAATAATCTAAATACTACCATCCCCAGTACCAGCAGAAAAGTGACTCTCAAGATTTCCAAGTGAATCCACTTACATGTTAAACAGTGAGAACAACAAGAAAGAGTAATTGTCTTATTCATTACAAAGCGCTAAGAATGAATCTTCTGTTTGAAAACTTAATCCACTCCAACTAGTACTGCTAACTGCCCACTAAAACCTAGTGCATTATCTTTGTTTCACAAACCTTATTCTTGATAAAATGTGTTACAACTTATATGTATGTAATCTATTTCATTCCTTGTTATATAAAATACATAACTTCTTTATTACATGAAAATTAAAAGGCAAAATGCTTTTTGTTATAAGCAACAGTAGGAAAAAATCACTTGAATTTCAGAATATCATATCCCAAACCTGGTTTGTTCACCTATGAACAGCCATGTTTCAATAAGAAATCCTTTAAAATGCATTAAACCCATCACCATACATTACGTTTTGTGCAGCTCAGGACGCAAATACAAGGCTGGTGTCCCATTTGGTCGAGTGGGTAGTGTTCTAGTTGATAAATTTTCGTAAGCTGCTATCCCCCATTAGGGGGTTAGTCACTGGTTTTAACAAACTCCTTGAAGAGTTCATTTCAGTTACTCCTGCCTTGCTCAGTGTGAAACAATTTAATTTTATTGCTTTCTTCCTAAGGGGTAGAAAGATGCTGCTCAAAGGAGAGCACTTGGAAGGGAACATGCACGGCGAAATGTAGGAATTCCCTGGATAAGCCTGATGGTAAGACACCTCTAAAGAGAGAGCATAAGACTTGGGGGGTATGGGGCAGAGGTTTAGGGGAGAGGCTCACAAAGGAAAGTGGGAAAACACAGCAAAGAAACTTAGCTTACTCAGAAACCACACTCACATCTCTAGTTATTTTAAACACAGTGTAACTTGGCATGGCCCATTCTGACCCAGAAATTTTGTCTTACCCTAATGAAATGAACTGCCTACTAACACCTATAAATAATTTCATAGATTATTTATTTCAAATTAGTATTTCATAATTAGAGCAAAGTCAAATTTCTCTTTGCTTTATAAATTCTCTCTCTTACAGCCTTATATGGAAGTTTCAAAAGATGGAAATGACAATAGACAGTGGATTTCAGATTCCTTTAAAAGACACCACATCAAATTCCAAATCTATTATATATACACACAGGACAAGCTGGGAGTCCCTAGAAAGTGGTTTCAAACTACACATTTCTACCACCACAACCCTTCAGATTCCCCTAGGAGGGCATGCTAGAATCTTAGGTCGGAGGCTGATGGGCAAGTACACTTTGAAAAAGCATTCCAGGAGACTGTAATACTCAACCCACCACCTCCTGCCCCTCCCACCATTATCGGCTAATAATGCTTCACCCCCCGCTACTGATGTACGTTCTGCTATTTCTTCTACACCAAATGTTAAGTAAGTGAAGTCATTAGAATAGAGCATCTGAATTCAATTGGCATTTATCCAGCTTTTAAGAGGTAAAAACATATACATGAATGACAAATCAATTTAATTTCCTTTCATAAAATTTCATTTCAGGGCTACATCACAAATTCTGAACTCAAAGCTAATCACAGTCATAGCTTTCCAATTAAAGTATTTAAGTCCGCTAATATATTTCCATGAATCAAACTTCCGCTACTAAGTAGCAGTACAAAAAAAATAGTAGGTTTCAACATTCCTCACAATCCACTTACACTTAAGAGAGAACTCAGATTTTTTTAAGCAAGTAAATAAAGACTATTATTTCAAGGTCAACCATGACTCTCTCATTGTACATTATGCCTCATATCCTAGAGGGTCCAGATTGAGAAAATGTTATTACATATGGGTACTTTTAGTAGAACTAGTTAAAGAGGTATTTCTATTTTCAAACTAACACTCCTGGTTTTCCGGGTTCATATTATTCATACTCCAGTCCATTGGAATGTATCTCACAATCCTCAAACTTCTTCAACTTTACTATTAGTCAATACCGGTTTAAGCAATCCTAAAGTATATTAGGAAATATGTGGACATCTCCCACACTTTTAAAATCACTTGACAACATGTGTATATCAACAACCGTGACTTCCTTATAGTTGTCAAATCTATTCTACATACATTTAGGCCCAAATACAAAAAAAAAAAAAAAAAAAAAAAAAACTTAGAAATTTCAAAAACAAACTGAGAAAACATACTTACCTTAATTGGAGCACTACTAAACTTAATTTTCCTATTTGCTGGGATGTCGTCTTCTTCTGGCAATCCAACAATTTCCGAGTATTCCATATCAGGTTGATAGTAACTGTTTTCATCACTCTCTTCCTGCTCATCCTGCTCAGTGCCCGTCTCTCCCCAGTCTGAATTATACCTGGATCTGACCCTGTATACATTATAGTCACTGTGCATGTAAACATGGGAACTCTCAAAATGAACCGAATCTTCAGGTACTTCCTTTCCACACCTGGATCCAGAAGCATCAGCAGAGGTAAAATCACCACCTGCCAGGTCTTTCTTCTGATGCATTGCTGCCTCACTCCCAACTAAATTAGCTTCGGCGTCTTCTAAAGGTTCATTTTGTGGTGAAGGGATTTCAGACTCTGGCATTGCCTTAGTGTCAGCACAAGGTTCTTCAGGAACGTCTCTGTCAATCCTGACAGGAGTCTCTTGGTTGGATGTGGAGTCCTCGGCTTCCTCGCTCTGCTGTGTCTCTTCACTGGGTATGGAGGCTAGAGAGGTACTTTTCAAAGCCACTTCTGGTCCCGGAGCTGTATGACCCTTCTGAGAATCCTCTGCATCATCACCGTGTTTGCTTGGAGGAGACCAAGAATTAGAATCCTTAAGGTGGCCAAAAGTGTCAAGATTTGTAACAGTAACAGATGGTAGATTCAGGGGATAATGCCCAGTCACTGAGTATTCGTTGTTCTCAGCCTTCTCAGGAACAATGGCAGTGGGGGAATCGGTATTCTCAAACACTGCACTCAGTTGACTCACAGTTGGGGAGACAGCCTCTGTCCGGGAGCTAAGGCTGTCCAAGGAATCGGTACTGCCTCTGTTGGACTTCGAGCCACCCCACTCATCCTGAGGCTCACTCCCTCCAGCTTTCTCTTTCTTTGGGGAATAGCGATTGTTCTGTCCTGACTCATGCACACTTCTCTCAAACATCTTCCGAGTTTCTGTGAACTTAGAATATGAAGGGCCATCGTACATTGTGTCAAATCTACTGATTCGTTCTGAAACAGAGGACTCCAACTTAACAACCGAGCCATCTGTTTTTTCCAGAAATTCTTTGGGCCTCATTCTTCTCTGTGGAGATGAAGGTCCACCTTTCCCCCTTGTTTTGGCAATGACTGCAGCATTTTCATTGGGTTCCATACCCATCTGCATAAATAGATTTTTAATTCTGTTGACGTTGGAGCCATATTTCCTCCCCCTGCTCTGCTGGGAGCCCTCACCTTCTTTTGTTTTTTGCTCTCCATCTGACTTGGGTTTGTCAAAGGTACTTTTCAGTGCCTGGAACTCAGTTCTATAAGCATTCCTGTGAGGAGAGGCACTTCTGAGAGTGGTTCGTTCACCTGAAGACTCGGTTTTCAACATTTTTACTTCAGGGGTGAAAAGCCAATGTTCATAATGATCAGGAAAAAAAACAAAAAACAAAAACAAAACACCTCTCTTCTCTAATCACCAGTATTTCGTCAAAAAAAAGTACCTCTCAAATGCCATACTGTATCAGTGATCCTCCCAACAGGTGTATTAGAAAATTATTCAGTCAGGGGTTATACAAAATGGCTTTTTCAAAGCAAGACTAGAGGTTCATCTGTAACAGAAAAGAATGAATTTCTAAATTCATTTACTTATTTGAATTTAAGTTCAGTCAACTAACAATACACTTTTCAACGTGGCTTAGCCATATGTCAAACAGGGGGGAAAAAAATCATTTATTGATAGGGGAATTTAAAAGCCAAGAATTTAAAAGTTATCCCTCTAATTGGTCTTAGATAACAAAAATGTTTCAAACACAATTTGGAGATCCCTACAGAAATCATATACTGACACACATACAAGTTACACATGAGTACAAGTAGACAACTTTAGCCGAAGTTTCTGTTGCTTTTGTGAATGACCTTCAAAGAAACCAGTTCACAGATCTTTAAGATATCACCAAACCTTTCGAAAAGTGAATTTCATTTGGGGTGCTCCCCATCAGGTAGAATTTATTCTTTCTGTATAAGCACAATTCAAAGTTCGGAATCTATGTTTCCAAAGTCCAAAATATGCTTACAGTAGCTTAGTTCACTCTCTTTGGTCTAATATTCTCATTTACAGCATCCCCCAAGCAACATTAGTACATTTTCAGACCAAAACAAGCAGAAGAAAGTTCTTAAATGAAAATAAGTTTCACTCTAAGTGCACTCACATCTAATATCTGGAAGTTTCCTAAGCGTGGATACTATTAATTATAGAGTGAGATGTAGAATATCACGGGAATAAATGCAGAACGTGACGATAAGAAAGCAAATATAACATGAGCCCTCTTTTCATCGTCCTGATTTGTTTACTCCTCTAACTTACTACAAGCTCAGAATGCAACGCAATGCATGCTTGCTGGTCTCCACTAGCCCACAGCTGGATTTTATATCAATATGCCAGTAATCAAATACTTCAAGATCCGCTGAGGCGCAGACAATGTAGCTCTAAAATTTTTCATTTTGTTTTTGCTTTGTTTTGTCTTTTAATATTAGGCCGAGCCATATCACCCTCACGCACAATCAGCTGAGGAAGCACACACTTTCACTTAAACCGCCTCCAAACTCGGCTTCTGGCCCAGCACGCATGCATGGCCCATGCAGACAAACAAGAAAGGCTTGAGAGTGTGGTGCCTGTTTTTTTGTAAAGCATCGACAATCTCCTTGTACCCTGACATTTGTTTAAGCCCTGCACACCCTCCCCTCCCCCCCCCCCACGTACACCCCACTCCCTCCCCGGCCAATTCGAACCCGAGGGGGCGGGGGCGGGGGAGATGGGGCCGCCGGGGGACTCAAAACCTGCCCTCACAAAAGACAAACATAAATAACACCAACTTGAGAGGCAGCCGGTTCCCAAGCCTGGTTCGGGACGCAATCCCTCGGCCCCGGGGCAGGGCCGGGAGAGCAGGTGACGCCAAGCGCTATGGTAGGAGGTCGCAGTCTAGCTTTGTGCCAAAAAGCACCTGAAGTCCTAACACATTGGCTGCGGCTCCCGGCGGCTGCCAGGCGGATCCCAGTGTGGCACGGGGAAAGCCGAGCTCCCTAGCCACATTAAAAAAAGAAAAAGAAAAAAAAAATTACAGGGTAATGATAATAAATCCCTTTGTTTTTCCTCCCAATGTGCCAGGAAACAATAGATCCCACTGATAATGCCTCCGATCCTCAACCTATCGCTCCCCAACCACAACCCACCCCCACCCCCAGCCTGCAACTCAGCCTTTGTACATCCCGATTTTTTTCCTCTTCATCTCCACCCTCCCCAACTCCTCGCCCCGCGCACAGCCTCCCCCTTACCCGAGCGGGAGCCGCCGCCGGCGGGGAGGGTCGGGCGGCCGCGGCTCCCACCCCCCTCCTTAGAGGCGCCCCCCGCCCCACGGTGGCCGCGGCTCTATCCGCGCGGGCCGGCTCGGCGCCCCTCCACCCGCCGCTCACGGCGCAGCGCGGAGGGCGGCTGCGGCGGCCGCTTCCACTCGCGCCGCGGCCCCCACGCGCGCCCAGCCCGCGGCGGGCGGCCCCGGGAGGCGCGCTGCGCTCCCCAACGCCATTGCGGGCGGGCGGCCGCCCGGGCCGCGACACGCTCGCACACTCGGGCCGGCCTGGGGCTGGGGTCCCGGCGCGGAAGGGGCTTGGCCCACGTGCGGTCACCCGCGCCGGGCCGTTTGGGCCGCCCGGGAGCCCAGGTGTAGTGGGGGAGAGGCCGCGGGGGTGAGGAAGGCCCAGGGTAACAGGTGCCTCACCTCGGCTGATGGGATTAACTCTAGGGCCGCAGAGAGAGGGAGCCCGGCAGCAAAATCCCAGGAGAGGGAGAGAGAGAGGGAGCCTCTGGCGGCCAACCGAGGGCGAAAAGCACCGGCCCGAGGAGAGGCCGCCCCACCCCCTCGGCCGCGGGCTAGGGGCCTCCCGGGCCTGGGGCAAGGCCTGCTCTCCTGGGGCCTCTCGGCCTTGCTGAGAGGGGTTGGTTCGGCGGAAACTGGGCCACCGCTCGGCCCGCTGCTGGGCCCCCACAAAGTCTGCAGTTGACTTGATGACCCCAGGGCATCTAAAACCCCAGGCCACTCTCCAGGCGCGGAAGGCCAACACCTAGGCCACTGTGCCCCGCCTAACACCCACCTTGACCTCAAGTCTCCACTGTTAAAAAAGAAAAGGATGAAGAGGTCTTCTGACGTTCGCATCAGGATAGAGTTTTTCAGACCCCCAACCTCCCCCTTTTGCCGCTACTCCCCCTTCTCCCCCCCCCCACCGCCCCAAGACCGGAAGTGTTACAGCCTCGGAGCAAAATACGAAACTGATCATGAGGATCAATGTGGATTTTTTAACCAATCCTCCCAAATATTCCACAGGGTAGAAATGACTAAAGGATAATTTTTCAAGAAGGTAATACCGTAGCTCTCATAGACATAGAAAATAAAAATGTGTCAGAAATATCATTTGACTCATTAATTAGGGAGGGAATCGCAAGATGTTACGACCCATTCCAACAAGGATGTGAAAAGCAGATCTTAACGGACAATCCGTAAAAAGGCCAAACTGGTTAAAACTCTGTAAGGCCTCAAAATGAAATGTTTCGAATTACCTGTTCTACAGGGAAGTAATGGTATCTCTAAAAAACAAAGTAATTTTGCATTTCTATAGATAAGAACATTTACATTACCATTAGTTTCTACAGCTTATAAAATAGTAAAATGGCCTTGTCGAAGGTCAAAGGTGCAGACTGCCGTAGAACCAAAAAACCAGATTCCTGTAGATAACATCCAGCCTTCCATTGAAAGAACACCAAGTGATATTTTGCCCATTTCAAATTCTTAAACAAGTTTTCCCAACGGAACTATAATTATCTGCGTTTCCCAGATGGGAAAACTGAAGTTTAGGTTTGTAACTTATCCAGAGCTTTATCAACTACTAAATGATTGTAGATGGATATGAACTCCAGCAAGTCTGTATACAGAATCGATACCCTGGAAGCAAAATCTCTCCCCACTTAATTTCAAAAAGCCTTTGTAGTTACTCAATTCTAAGTATTTTGAACAGTGAATTTTTTTCTTCAAGCTCACCAAATTCTGGGTGCTTTCCCAAGAAATTGGCATTCTCTGTCTACAAAGTGGATGTCACTTCTATAAGCATAAACAGATGTAGCAGGCAACGTGAGGGGGCTGTGGTTCCAGTCTCCACTTTTGGAAAGAACATTTGTGCTGTCTGGGATAATTTAGTGGAAAAGTTCCTGTCATTTATTTGCAGTATGGAAACCATGTTTTTTAGGAGAGTAACCTAAATAAATGCAAGAACCTAATCACTGAGTTCTGTCTGTAGAAGAGGGGGCAGAGTTGGCAATAAAATCAGTCTTACACCTCTTTGCAAAAAGATGATTCATACAGAAAAGCAACCTAAAGAATTTGGTTGGCTTTTGTGTTGTTTTTTTTTTTTTTTATGTGAACCTTCTGGAAAAATTCATACTGAAGGAATGAATGACAGAGTTTTTAAAACATAAAGCTGATCATTTTAAGATTTCTTGATTGCCCATAATCTACTTTCCAGTTCTAACACTTACCTATTTTAAGAGTCTACTAGACCAGTACTAACCAATACATGTGGCTGTTTAAATTACTCAGAACCAGATACAATTAAAAATTCAGTTCCTTAGTCCCACCAGCCACATTGGAAGAACTCAATGGCTAGCGGCTACCCTATTGAACAGTGTAGATACAGAACATTTTCATCACAGAAATTTCTTTTGGACAGTGCTATCTTAGACATTTGCATTTCTATAAATTAAAAAAGGCATATTGACTTTATGAGGGTTGAAACTTAGTTTAGTAGCTCATTAATGTATTGAGGATTCAAGGTCCTAAGTTTTGTATGTTCCAGTTGGAAAGGGGTTGGAGCAGTGTTAGGGTATAACAGGTGATGTTTAGTATTGACATGAGTGGAATACAAAGTACAATACATTGGAGCAGATGATTTTCCTATATGATTTCTTTCATAAGTCCTGGAGGATATTGTGGACTGTTATTCTTAGTTCCTTTGTAATCAGTAATACCATGATTAGTAAAAATGGGCCATAAGATTAGTAGATAAAAAGTACAAAATATAAGCACACCTGGGTGGCTCAGTTGGTGGAGCAGCAGACTCTTGATTTCGGCTCAGGTCATGACCTCCAGGTCACTTAGTCGAAGCCCCGTCTCTGGCTCCAAGCTCAATGCCTATTTGGCTTCAGATTCTTTCTCAGGCTCTTCTTCCTTCCTCTCTGTCCCTCCCGCTCACATTCATGCTCTCTCTCTAAAACAAATAAAATCTTTAAAAAAAAAAAAAAGTACAAAATGTATTCTATGTTGTTTGAGGGGTTTTCTCAATATATTTTTAAAGTTCTCATAATGGATATTCTGAGTAGCTAGTCAAAGAGTTATTATTATTCATAAATGTAAGTGAAATATTGAGTACAGTTATAAAATTAAGCCTAAATCAAGCCTGAATCAAATTTAAGACTAGATAATATTCACTAAGATAAGCCTGAAATCTGCCTTTCACGCCATAATTTAATGCAGGAAGGCACCTGGCTGGTTGTATATTAACAGAAGGTCATGGAGAGAAAAGAATAGAACAGAGTTAAAGGTCTCCACAATAATCTCTTTATGCAATACACAAAATAATGGAAGAGCACTTTATATAAGTAAGTTTACACATAGGTTTAGCATAAAAGGATATTTTACTCCTACTACTAATAAGAAAAATGTGTTAATAGTAATGAAGCAATTTGGTTGCCAAAAGCATATTTATAACTGCTTATTTCACATTTGCAAATACCAGAGTGCTTTGTCCCCTTCAGATGTGAATGTTGGTATTCGGGTATCTTAAAGGTCCATCTTTTAAAATAACCATCCTATTTAAGGGTAAAAATTGAAGTCTGCCTTACGATGTTTTAGGTTTTTGATATTCTGTACACACTCCATTGTAGAGATGAAATACATTTCTGTAAAACGGTGAATGTAAGTTCTCAGCTTACATTCAGGATACATCAGAGATCTCTATGATCAGTCTGATTTTGTGTTACTAACTATGAAATTAAGCTTAAATCAATAAACAGATTTTCTAATCTAGAAGGTGTCATTTCTGCCCAAATAAATTGATAATGATTCAGCATTGCTTTCTACCTACATTCATGCCTTGGGCATGCCACTGAAAATTTATACCATCATCTTGATCGATTTCTCATTCTACAATACATCCAGTATCTTGGCTGTTCCACCTAAAAGTAGGCTCGTGATGGGTTTGAGTATTTACTTTTATTTGAAAATAATAAACTATGGAACTTCTTGGGATTCCTAAAGTCATTTTTTAAGTTGCTGTTAATTCCTTAGCTCTACAAATAAAGCACAATAGATCTACAGTGTGTTCACGCTAAAGTGATACCTCTTCTCTTTTTTCCCTATTTTTACTTTATTTGGTTGCCCATACAAAACACAGTAAACCAAGAATTTTATTGGAGTAGACATTGGTATGATGTTTTCATTACTGTCACTGCTTCTAAGTTTGAAACAATCACTGCCGTAAACATTCTTCTCAGTTTTCAGTTTTACAATAGTATAAATTGCATGTTTAATAACAAGTGTGAGGTATTATCTGTTCCTACAGAAGCCCATTTTACTTTCAGCCGATTAGCCCCTCGGGCAGAAGGATTCTGGTGGTGGTATTCTATGGGCCAATTCACCACCCACAAAGTGCACCCGAACTCTGGCATCTTTGGGATTGACATGTTGTCTCCTCTGCTTCAGAATAATGTTATATTTCAAGACAGAAACAAAATGGGAGAGGCATGGTAATCCTTCATGGAAAGAACAGGTAGCCAAGTGTCAAATTGAGATTCAAGTTGAAAACATTTTACTGGAATTCATATTCATTATTCTTTTACCTGAGAAATGCTAAGCCTATTTCTTGAGCTATATGATAGCATAGCTCTTCTTTGCACACAACTGATGGAGGAAATGGTTGTCCAAAATACTCTTAGTTGTGAAAATATGGAGGAAGGAATCAAAGAATAACAAAAGTATGTCAGTAGCTTCTCTATTCCATGGCATTAGCTTTGGTGAATTAATTATTAAAACTCATAAATAAACACCCCTGTTTGTCTATAATTAAACGGGAAATTTCTTTGATTTTTATTTCCATTTCCAGTCTGGTTCTAGTAACAGAACTAGACCCTAAGGAGGTCCATTATAGTCCTGTTTGGTAAAAAATCCAAGTTATAAAAAAAAAATTTTAAAAACTCTGGTATTAGGGGTGTGTAGGTGACTCAGTTAAGCATCTGACTTTTGATCTCAGTTCAGGTCTTGATCTTAGGGTTAGGAGTTCAAGCCCCCAGTGGTGCTCCATGCTGAGCATAGAGCCTACTTAAAAAGAAAACAAAAACAAAACTC